CAGGGGAGAGAAAAAGGGGTTGGTGACTTATCAAACTCCAGAAAGGAAGGGCAGACTTTAAATAGAAGGAGAGCTAGCTAGCACAGACGGGCCAGCGAGTACAGCAGAGCCCTGTCTGTCTTCTGCACATAGAAAGCAAGCTATCTGCCAGCAAGGTAACTCTCAGAGCCGTGGCAGCCCCATGGAAGGGTGACACCCTTCAGATACTGTAGTAGTTCCCATACCCACACCCGGATTACTACCACTTAGTCACTGCTGGCCACACAAAGTACACTGTGTACCCTTCCGTTCTAAGCTGCATCTTTTTCCCCACAGAGGAAGTGAGGGAGCGCTTTCCTACTCCCGCCATCTACTGGTGAGAATGAAAATGCTCTATAATTCTCTTTTCTTGTGGCCAATTGGAAACTGAGTTGGCATCTGAAAGCTTACTGGCATAACACTCATTTGTTATGTGGAACACATCTAAGAAAGGCCATCCTGGCAGTGGTGGCTGGTTCCTTTTGTTCTGTTAAGTGTCCATTGAATGTGTAAGATGGAGTAATATACACAAAAGATACATATTCATATCACGTACTTAGTATAAAGGTTGAGACTTGGAACCAAATTTGGTTTTGCTTTTTTGTTTTGTGTGTGTTTAGGTTGGGTATTTTAATCTAATTTTTTATATCTGGGATGTTATATCACAGCATGCTTGTGGGAGTCAGAAGGCAATTTGTGAAAGTCAGTTCTCTCCATCATATGGGTCCTGGGGATCAGACTCAGGCCCACAGGCTTAGCAAGTGCCTTTGCCTGCTGCACATCACACTTGCCTTTATTTATTTTTTAAAGATGGAAGTCTCATATAGCCCAGGCTGGCCTCAAACTCCTATGCAACTGATCTTGGTCTTGAACTGAGCTTCCTGTCTCCTCCTCCTACGACCCGGAATTACAGTTATCTGGTGAACGGAAGGCTCAAGCAGACAGCCCTGCAGTGTTTTGAATAGGAATGGTCCCCGCAGGCTCATATACTTGAATGGCTGGTTTCTGGCTGGGGGACTGTATAGGAAGGATCAGGAGGTGTGGCCTTGTTGGAAGAGGTGTGTCACTGTGGGTAGGCTTTGGGGTTTCAAAAGCCCATGCAAAGGAGTCCATGTCTGCCTCACTCTCTGCCTCCTGCTGTGGATTGGATATAAGCCGTCAGCTACTGCTCCAATGCCTACCTGCCTGCCTGCCTGCTGCCATGCTGATCACGGACTCTCCCCCTGAAACTGTAAGCAAGCCCCCAATAAACAGCCTTGGTCGTGGCGTCTCTTCACAGCAGCACAACAGTATCAACAGACACCGGGGCCCTGGACAGAGCGTGGCCTCTGGCTGAGCCCGCTCTCTGCCTGCCTTCAATCTTGGCACACATCAGCTCTTGACTCTTAGGTGTGACTGTTTTGTGCTACTTCTCAGACCTCCAGTTTCTGCAGTTATTTTTAGCTGTAGCTTTAGTGCGTTCTTGAGACAGGCGAGGCACAAAGAGGAATGTAGGTGTGGGCCACCTTTGAGTCTCCAGTGCCAGGACTGTCCCTTGTCCTTCCAGCCGGAGAGTGACTCACACCCTTTTTATTATCTGCCCCCAGGGCTAAGTTTCACTTCAAGAGCTCTGGATTAGAACTGCTGTAGTCTATTCTCTAATTTCTTTTTGAGGACATGCCTTCTTCATGCTTTGTTACCTGCTTCTGATAAGATGGCTTCCTTTGTTTTCTGACACCAACCCTACAGCCTCTGGATCTTTCTGGTGCTATTTCCCAGAGCTTTGAGGTACTTGGTAGATGGGAGTCTGATGTAGGTGGTAGAGAGCTCCCAGGAAGGAGGCTACCTTGAAAGCCCTCTGGCTCTAACCCAGATGTCTATGAGCCAGACAAATTCTGGGATGTTCATTGCATGAGAGACTGAGAAAGAAACGTGATTTGTGTCTTTGCCCTTCACAGTAACAATCACGGAGCTGTACTTCCAAGCCTGGCACAGGTTGTGTGTGTGTGTGTGTGTGTGTGTGTGTGTGTGTGTGTGGTGTGCACTTGTTCTCCTGTGTGTATCTGTATGCTCACGTATATGTAGAAACCAGAGTTCGATGTCTGGTGTCTCTCCAAAAGCATGCATATCCCTTAGCTCCTTAGACCACTGCCTAGAAGAAAAGTTCAGGCCAGAATAATTCTAAGATCTCTTTACTGTGTTCTCACCCCCCCCACCCCGCCCCCACAGTCATAACCCAATTCAACTTTAATTTGCTTCTGAAGTCCTCCAGAGTGAAAACATCAGCCATCTACTGATGCCACCAAAGGTGCCCTAAGAAGCCTATCAGGAAAATCTGTTATGTAGAAAATCGGCTCCAAGAGGTACCAGACCCACAATAGTTCCTCCAACTTCTCCCAAGGATGGCCCCTCTCAACTACTTGCCTCCCCCCAACCCCACTCCTTTGGATTGTCTGACTCCTCGAACTTACTCTTCACTCAAATGCATCATGGGAAGTGATGAAATTCAAAGCATGGGGCTGTCACTCTTTGGTAGAGTCCTAACCTAACAGACACAAATCCCTGGGTTTGATCTCCAGCATCATCATATCAAGCAGGCAGAGTGGTACCCACCTACCATCTCAGCACTCAAAGGTACATGTAGGAGGATCAGGATAGCTCAAGGCTATCCTCAGCTACATGAGCTGGAGGCCAGCCTGGGACAAATGAGACCCTGGCTAAAAAGAAAAGAACTTAGGGAATTAAGAGCAAACTAAACAAAAGCTACGTGCTGTATTTCAGTTTACTACGAATGCCTTCACGGTAGGCACTGCTCCTACTGTAGTCTGTGGTGTAAAGGAACCCTTCAGGGCTAGGGAGATAGCTGTTAGTGAAGGGCTTGCTTTGAACACAAAAACCCGAGTTCAACCCCCAGAAGTCATAATAAACAGCCAGTCATGGCATACAATTGTAATGGTAGTGCTGAGATGTCGGCAGGCAGATCCCTGGGATCACAGGCTAACCAGCCTCCCTCATCAGTGTGCTCAGGCCAATGAAACCCTGCCTCAAAGGGAAGTAGACGGTGATCCTGAAGATGACACCCGGGGCTGACCTACACGCACATGAGCACATGTATCTACCCTCACACGCATACTACATTCACAGGGCTGGGATGGGACAGCTAGGGCTTGCTGGCTGGCAGTACAGGTGCAAGTTCAGTTACTGTCAAGAGAGTAAAGTCACAAAGGAACCTGGTGTTCTCTTCTGGCTTCTGTGTGAGCTCGAGGGCATACATATGCTCACTCACACACACACAGGTCCTATCCCCCAGTGCAATGAACAGTATCAACAGCCCACCCTGGCCTAAACTGTAAGGCAATATACTTCTTACACTTTTTTCTCTTGAGGAAAACAATCTTTAGAACATGCATTTTTCTTTAGTTGTCCATGTCACGTGTCTCCGTTTTACAAGTTTCACTCTCAATCTGTGTCCATCAATGATTCTCTGACATCTCTTTACCCCAGACCTGACATTCCAGACACATTTTTAATAAAACTGTGACAGTCAACAAAAATCAATAGGTACCTTCCAAAGTACAATTTATGAACCAGCAGCTCAAAAAGGGATTTTGATGTCCATGAAGCACATTATGGACCACTCTTCCCAGGTGTAAGCATTTTCATGGCTCGGATAGGACAGACAGGGATTCTGGTACTCAGGAGGCAAAGAATACTGAGTGTTACAGCTCAGATGGAAAGGCGTTCTGGCACTCAAGAACCAAGGAATACCACAGGTCACAGTAAGCATAGCAGCTCACAGCTCCGTTTCAGGGAAAGGATTCCCCAGCGTATCAGCTCTGCTTCATCAAGAGAGGGTTTCCCAGGCGAAGCTGTTACAGTTCGGCTCCAGTCCTCCAGAGAGTGGAGGGTAACATCTTGGCTTTTCCAAGGGAAGGTTTCTCTGGTGAAAAGTGTTACAGCCCTCTCCAGTCCGCTCTGCTCAGGGTCATCTCTGAGTCTCTGCTCTTGTGAGAAAAGGTCTCACCCAAGCCTCATTCAAGAGATTTATTGGAGGGAAGAATCCAGAAGAGTGGCTGCCCTCTATCAGGGTGGCAGAGGACAGCCGGGCAGGCCAAACAGCCACAAGCTGAACAGACAAGGGATTTATGTAGGGCTTCTTAGGGGGTGGAGTTTTCCCAGGAAGATTTCCAGGGTGGGGATTGGTCAGATCTCAATCCCTGAGCCCAGAATGGCTAGATCTAGCGCTCAGGGATTGGTTGGTTGCACAGGGTTAGGTTGCACAGGGATTGGTTTCTGCACAGGGTTAGGGTCAGATTTGGCTCTGATTCCAGGACAAAGTGTGTTTCTTTGGCACTGGTGTCGGGGTCAGGGTTCGGGGTCAGGGTCATTTCTTTGGTTCTACTTGCAGGACCCAAGTGTGTTTCTTTAGCTCTGCTCAGGGTGTTTCTTTAGCTGGCCCTTTTCCCTTACACCTTCCTCCTCTGGAAATGTCCCAGCTCCACATCTGAATTCAAACCCAACAAGGATGGGAGAGTAACATTATGGAGAATTTCCTTCTTTTCTGATGCACTGATGCAACTCTCATCACCTGGGGACAGGAACTATTCAAGAAACCAGTTTTCCTAGCCACCTGTTTAGGTCAAGAAACCAGGAAAATGTGTTCCGGACTCTAACGCCCTCTGCAGCTTCATCGTAGAAGGAAAATGCAACCTTTTAAGCAAGACTTCCCTTTCAAAGCCACCCATCATCTTTCTCTGGATTTTCTTTTTCCATCACAAAATGATGTTTACCTTAATGACTCTGTCATGTAACCACACTGAAAGGCCCTGTCAGCAAGGGCTACAAAGTCCTTTAAAAGACAAGTCACCAAAGAATTTGAATGCTGCTCTTCTAGAAGATCTATTCCCGGCTCACAACCAGCTCCAGGGAGATCCGAGTGCTCTGACCTGTGTGGGCACTTACACAGAGGTGTGCACATGCACACAAAGACGCACACACACAAATAATAAAAATACATCTTTTAATAATAATAATAATTATTGTTCCAGACCAGGCATGATGACAGCTGAGATAGTCTACACCCCTCTGTAAAGGTTTACAGTTAACCACAGAGGACGCTCTTCGTCAGCCAGGCCCTTGGGTTGCAGGTGGAAGAGCAGTCAGGCCTGGGTCAACACGGTCACAGTTGTCCCACTGCAATGCCAACCCTCAGGGAGAAAACGGAGCTCCCAGCTGGCTGAGTGACCTCTGGACGGGTCTGGAGATTCGGGGCTCCGAGCCGTCACAGGGGAGGGGTCAGTGCTGCCTTCCATCTCTTCAAGCTCAGAGCGGAAGTCCTGTCTCCCTGAAGCCGTTAGCGGCCTTTCCGCTTCTTCATTTTTCCCCCAGCCACCTTGTTCCTCACACCAATAGCGCCCTCGGTATCATCATCGTCTCCTGCATCCTCTCGCTTGCGTTTCTTCTTTTCTCCGTGTTCCCTTAACTCCTGAAGAACAGCACAAAGGATGCGATTGAACATGAGTTAATAACCTTAGGTCACAGGTCACCAGCAGAGGGTAAAAGCCAACTCCAAATGAACAAAACCCCTGACCTTATACACAGGAACCAAAGCATGGAAATAAAATAAGACTGCCACAGATGTAAGAGAATGGTGATCCTTGTAATGATGCCCCTGGTCACATGACCGGCTGAAGCCTTTCTAGGGGACAATCTGTCTAAATCCCAAGGAGCATACTGTATGTACACTCCTTGGTCAATCTCACTTCTAGAAGTTTACTTTAGGAAAAAAGAAAAAGATGGGTGGTGGTGGCACATGCCTTTAATCTCAGCACTCAGGGTGGCAGAGGCACGTGTATCTCTAAGTTTAATGCCAGCCTGATCTACAGAGCGAGTTCCAGGACAGACTCCAAAGCTACACAGAGAATCCCTGTCTCAAAAAGAAAAAAAGGAAAAAAAAAAAAAAAAAAACAAAACAAAACAAAACAGAAAAACAAGCAAAGGTACACATACTAGAGTATTCAACACAGTCCTAGTTAAAGGGGAGAAAAGCAAACACTCATCAATATAAATCATGTTAAACAAATGGGATGGATTCTTTGTAGCCATTAAAGAATGGTCACATGTGCTGGTCATGGTGATGCACAGCTATAATAGCAGCACTTGGGAGGCTGAGGCAAGAGGCTAGACATGAGTTCAAGGCCAGCCTGAGCTACACAACAAACCCCCTGCCTCAAACATCCAAAACCAGCAAATAGATCTCACTGTGGACGGGAGGGTGGCACTGACCAGAGAAAGATCATATGGATTTACACTTGGTGAAACACAAACATGTTAGTCACATATAATTAGGTGAGTTAAAATTAGCTTGATGCTATCAATGGCTCTCCCTGGTGGCCAGTTCACTTCTTCAGTTACTACTTCAACGCTTTCTATAGTTTCTCAAAGTTTCCCAGTGTCTAGACCTGGCCTGAAACACTCACCGATGCCCTTGACTCAGTTTCAAAAGTGCTAGGATCACAGGCATCTCCATTACACTTAACTACAGGTAGCACTTGTGTGTGGGGTCCGTGTGTGTATACATGCAGGTCAGAGGGCAGCCCTGGGTGTCAATCCTCATGTGCCGTGCACCTTTACCCACTGCAGATGGCAACTTTGTAAACAAAGCCACAAACAGAAATTCCAGGTGAGCAGAAAACCACAGCAAGCCTGAAGGCGAAACCTCCAGGGGTTTCTTCTAGAATCTTCTCTCACTGCTGCGACCACCACCCTACTACAGTCACAGTTCACACAAGCTTATCTAGTGCTCAGAGTGCATTGAAGTTTTCAAGGCAAATGTTAGTCCCAATGTACAGGTGCAGAACGGGTTCTGAGAGGTGAGTAAGATGCCCACGCTCACTCTAGGCACAGCTAGACCCCTGACCTCGAGATTGACCTCTGCTGGGTGGGGGGCACGACACAGGAAGAGTGGAGAATGTGGTCACCCTGGTCAGACCACACCAACCCGGATTCAGTGGTGAATTTCCCATGAGCCAGAACAAAATGAAAGTATATGATGAGGGCACAGGTTAGATCACCAGAAGCTGGTGAAGGCAGACACTATGTACATACCATTCGGGCAAATCTCTGGGCTTCATTCACACGTTCTGTGAGCATCATAACCTCCTCATCCTGCGTGGGAAACACGGGCAGTTTCTTCCCAATTAGGTGCTCAATGCGCTGGAAGAGTTCCACATCATACCTGAGGGAAGAAAATTGCTTGGCTCTGCTGGGCTGGTAATGCCAGCATCTCCCGATGCCCACTACCATGCTATCTTGTATAGGTATCCCACGCGTGCTCATATGCAGCAGCACTAACTGGACTGTGGGTTACACAAAAAAACAAATGGACATGAAGGAAAGGGGGCGGGGGAGTGAGTGATGGGTGAGGATATAACGAAGATACATTGTATACACGTGTGAAACTGGCAAAGAAGAAACTTTTAAGATAGGACTGGAGAGATGGCTTGCTAGTTAAGAGTATTCACTGCTCTTCCAGAGGACCAGGGTTCAATTCCCAGCACCTACATGGTGGCTCACAACTGTCTGTAACTCCAGCCCCTGGGGATCTGACACCCTCTTCTGGCCTCTGCAGGCAAAACACCCATACATATAAAAAATTAAAAAGAAAAAGAAATCAGACAGCTATTCTAGCCCGTGTGAATTAAGGGAAAGGTCACTGCTGCCCAGTTTTGGCACTGAAAGAAGGAGCAAGTGCCACCCGTGCTTCTGTGTAACATGACATGATGAACGACATGACTCCTTCACGGTGTTCCTGTTTTTGTTTGTTTTTAACCTTCACATTGTCATTTTCACCAAACTTTATTAGGTCAGAGTGGACCCCATTTCAGAATTATGGACACCAGGGTTGGGGAGACGACTCTGGTGAAGTGCTTAGTGAGCAGCGTGAAGACCTGTGGTCGATGCCCACATGACAACACACCGGGCAGGACAGGGTGTGCACACAGCGGGGTAGAGGCGGGTGGGCTCAGCCTTCACTGGCCAGACAGCCCGCACTACTTGGCAAGCTCCAGGCCAGAGGGACCCTGCCTCAAAACACAGGGACATGGCTCCTGAGGAGCGACAGCCAAGGCTGACCTATGGTCTGCTGGTCTACACAGGTGCCACACAGAGACTCTTACACACATACACACACACACACACACAGAGAGAGAGAGAGAGAGAGAGAGAGAGAGAGAGAGAGAGAGAGAGACAGAGAGCACCTGTGTGATCAGTACTGCACAGAGTAGAGGCTCTGTGGAGCGCCTGTCCCTGCTGATTTACTTACTGTGTCACAAAAGTAATGGCCTTTCCAGAACGCCCAGCTCTCGCAGTTCGCCCCACTCGATGGATATAATCCTGGAACAGAAAAGGCAAATAAATTCAGATCAGGTAAGAAGAGATGTGTGCAAAGTCCTGTTGCAAACTTTCCAAAGAACACACATGCCTCAGGAACATGGACAACATGGCCTGGGAATCTGATAGAAATCTATTTTTTTTTTTTTTTTTTTTTTTTTTTTAACATTCTCATGGCACAAAATTCATCCAACCCCTGCTTTCTCCTATACAAAGACAAACCTACAGCACCTATCTATATGGCTACGGCAACACTGGAAAGAGAAAAACACTGATCTAGGGGTCCTCACAACATCTGCACATCTACTTCTCAGAACTTTAGTTTCTATTTATAGACCAGGGCTAGAGATGAATGCCCAAACTTAGAGTTGTTGTGAAAATCAAACGAGACAGTGGCTTATCTGTAACAGCTCAACAAGGAGCCAAGAGAAACAAAGTTCCACCAGGGGTGATCCTGCCTCTCCCACGGGATATTTGGTAATGCCTAGAACATTTCTGGTTGTCACGACTGGAAGAGTGTGAGATACTGTCAAGTAAATTTGAGGAATGCTAAGTATAGTGTACTCAAACAACAACTCCCAAGACAAGAATCCACCAGTCCAAATGCTAACAGTACCAAGAGTGAGAAACACGGAGACAATAAGTGCAGAAGCCGCTGTCTGCAAAGAAGTGAGACTGAGTAGTCAGCATCCTCAACTTGCCCCCTTGGACTGTGTCTATTAACTGTCCCTGGGTACCTTCGCATTCACAGCAGCTAATGCTGCAAACACCGGCAAGTGCAAATGCTAAGAATAAATCAGTCAAGAGCTTTTCTCAGTTGCTGCCTGTTGAGACAGGGTTTCCTGTAGCCCAGGCTGGCCTTCAACTTCCTATGTTCCAGAGGAAGATGACCTTGAAGTCCTGATCTTCCTGCCTTTACCTCTGGCAAGTTGGGATTACTTACCTGTGCTACCATGTCCAGTTTATTTGGGTGACAGCTCAAACCCAGAGTCTTATGCATGCCAGGCAAGAGTTCTACCAAACGAGCTCTATTCCACCCCCTTCCTTAGTTTTCAATACTGAACCAATAGAGAACAGAAACACTACACTGTATCCAAGGAAAAACAAACAACAACAAACAAGAAAGCCCAGGCAGCGGGAGGACCCACCTTAGAATGAGTCGGAATGTCAAAATTGACCACTACATCCACATGGGGTATATCCAGACCTCTGCTGGCCACATCAGTAGCTAGAAGAATGGAACGAGCCTTGGCCTTAAACTTATTAAGAGATCCAAGGCGTTTACTCTGAAATGAGGAAAAGAAATTAGAAACTTTAATCCTGAAAAATGAAGGAATCCTGGCATACTCTACATGGAATACAAACACAATAAACAATAAAATTAATTTTTCATATAGTTTTCTCTTCTAAGTCAAAGCCAGGGGTTCATAAGTCAAAAAAAAAATGGAAACAACAAAAAATACTTAAGACAGGCCACAAACGGTAACACAAAACAAGGACCATTTTCAACACATCAGAAAAATAAGCAAAAAAAAAATGTTATTAAGTCTTTAAAGACCAAAGAATTAAAACTGCTAATACATTGACTCAACAGCTTACAAATCAGACAACTGCCTATAAAATGTTCTTTTGTGTACATCTCTCTTCACATGCATAACAACTGAACAGAGTACACACATGAGCATGTATGTGGAGGCCAGAGTCACCCTTTAGGTTGTAACTATCTCTTCTTAGACCTCTCAGAGACCTGAAGCTCAGTGGTTGGACTAAGCTAGCTAACCAGTGACCTGAGCTCCAAACAAGTGGGCCATGAACTATTCCACTATGAGACACAGGGTTTGCCTTCCTCGTTCCAGTAGTCCCCAACTAAGAACTCTTACCTGACTCATCTGTCCATGGAGGGGGATGGCAGTGAATCCGAGATTTCGGAGTAGCAAAGCTGTTCTCTGAGTATTGTTACAGGTGCTGCAGAATATCATAAAGGAGTTGCCAGCCAGTTCATTGAGAATATAAACCAGGTAGGTGTCCTAAATCATAAACCCAAAACAAGGTACATAACTGACCTGGAAGGATTGAAGGCCTAGCAGCATGTAGGAAAAGACCAAGCTTGAAGGAGTGTCTCATTTATCCAAACTACCAGCTTTGAGCTTTATGCTTCCTCCCTGCTACTCCCCAGGTTTTTGGACAGGGTCTCCGTGGGGAGTGGAGGAATGCTTGAGTGAACGTGTAAGAAGACTAAAGTCCTGTCCTGAGTTGCTGTTGACCTGAAAGTGGCCATGAATGACCTGGTCAGGCTCAGGGACCCATCAGAGTGCCAATGTTGACAGTGCGAAAAAAATGCCAACCACAGCTTCCTCCTCCAGGATGTGTACAGCCTGAGACTGCTCCTGACAGAGGCCCACTACAGAGAATGGCTAAACCTACTCCTGCGTGCCTAATAAAATAAACATGCTGACTTTCCCAGTTGCTGTTGATACAACTCTATCAGAGTGTACAGCCCACCCAACCCGTCTTTCTGTGCCTGTAGTCTCTCAATTCCCAGTTGCCCCACCTAGGTCAATCCCTAAGCTGTGTTCAGGTTGTGGCAAGTCTCACTCTGTGGTCCAAACCAGCCTCAAACTTACTATGAGGCCCCCGCTGGCCTCGAACCTGTGGTGACCCTCTTGCTTCAGATTCTCAGTGCTAGGATTACAGGTGTGCACTACCACTCCTGGCTAGCTATGTGAGCTCTGTGAACCAAGCACCCCAATGCATCTCAAGGTCACACAAGTCTGTACTCAGCAACCAGCAAGGCCTTTCTAAAGTAGCCATGAAATAAACAGATTTTGGAAAACTGAGCACAAGGGTGGCCTGGGGAGGAACTCTACCACTCTATCACGGCTTCTACTTGGGTTTAATGCTGAATTCCTGACATGTTCACTTTATCTGTGATAAACGTAAAAGTTGGACATGCAGCTCTCCACTGGTCAAGAGTTGACACATTCTAGACGCTTCGCTGAGGACAGGAATGTCAGCGATGCACAAGTCAACACTTCACCTTGAATTTAGAGGGAATAAAGAGGTAATACTGTTGCAGCTTCTCAACAGTCTGGTACTTAGAGGACACGGCACACTTCACGGGGTTCTTGAGAGCTGCACGCTGAAGCTTTTGCACCTAAAGAAAGAAAACAGAATAACATCAATTCCTAAACACACTTGATGTTTTTATTTTTATGTGCTTTCACTACTGTTATGCATCGATTCCTGAACCTAGGGCCTCAGCCAAGTTAGCGACTGTTTTATCCCTAGCCACATCTCTAGCCCTAGTTTTACACGGTAGCTTGAGACAGGGTCTCACTAAGGTACCCAGATTAGCCTTGAACTTACAAGGCCTTAAACTTAGCCTTGACCTCCCCAATAGCTGGTACACACTACACCTGGCTTGTATTTTTTTTTAATTAATTAATTGCTTTTATGTGGTTAGGGCCTCACAATATAGCCTGAACAGAACTCACTAAGGCCTACCTGCCCTTGTTTAGCTATCAATTCTTATAAATAGGATAACAGGAGTCCAAGCAAATCTCACCTTCTTGGTCATGGTAGCAGAAAAGAGAAATGTTTTCCGATCTCGGGGAATCACTTTGAGGATCTTGTCAACCTGAGGCACACAGAAAAGAATGCCAATGACATTTACAGCAGACGTCTATAGATTCTCTGAGAGATGGGGTGAGGGGAGGGAAACCACACATGGGCACCAAATCTGGGAAGTTTTAGGGATTTCAAATACAATTCAAAATCAGCTGAACATTTACACTCCAATACCACACCAGATGCTATATTTTTAAAATGCCATTCAAAGTAAACAACAATTTAAAGCTAAAAAGGCCAAAACATGAACACTACTCAAATAAGCAATGTCAAGTAGGCCCTCAAAGACAGTGAAGATTCCAAGGTAAGCAGAAGAGACCTACACCAAATGAAACAGAAAGGTGTGTTTAACAGTCCTCACCTATGAGGTCAGTCATGACAGTATTATAAGATAAGAGGCACCAAGAACGCAGAAAACCATCGACATCTGCTGTTCATCAGCCTGACAGGTGCACAAGGAACCCAAACCAGCTTAACGAGAGCCCCACAGAGGCTCTAGGGAGGACTGCTGCTAAAAACTCACCTCTGTCTCAAAATCCATGTTCAGTATCCTGTCTGCTTCATCCATGACCAAGTACTTCAGAGCTCTCAAGTTGAAGCCTTTGGTATTTTCCAAGTGGTCAATCAGTCGGCCTGGAGTGGCTACCAAGAAAGGTCAAAGAGAAAGGACCCAAGGATGAGAAAGTCATCTACGACACCTGAAAGCTCAGCAAGGTCACCAGGTGCACTCCCCAGGCGCCACCCAGCCCGGTAGGTTATCTCCAACCCATCCAGTCATGGCGGCGTTCACCTCTGTCAGTGACTCACCTATTACTATATGCGGTTTTTTGGCCAAGGCTAGTGACTGGGACATTGAATCGATCCCACCAACAATCACAGCTACAGAAACAAACAAATACACAGCAGTGGTTCTTAATCTTCTCAGCGAGCACCTTCAAAGCCAGTGCTAGATTTCTACTTGCGCTTGTCCAGCCACCCCCCCCCCCCAAAGCTGAAGCACAGCACCAGCTCCTTAGATCAACAGCGTGCTTGCTAACAGCGCTTTCCTGCCCTCTCCTCCCCTTGTGATGACACCCCAGGGCTCTGCTCTTCTTAGACACTTACCGCACTGCACTCCAATAGAGGACCCCAGTGCCTCAAACTGTTCGGAGATCTGAAAGGCCAACTCTCGAGTAGGGGTGAGGACCAGAGCAAACAGCCGCTGGGGAGTCTGCAGCAGCGCGTTCAGAATGGGCAAAGCAAAGGCACCTGTTTTTCCAGAGCCAGTCTCTGCCAACCCAATAATATCACGGCCTGAAGAAGGGAACAAAACGAACCCTAATACAAAGAAATGCCCGCAGTTCTACTTCAAAGTTTTCTATAGTGACACAGGACTGGCCATTAGAGAGACTGAATAAATGAAAGGGTATGGCTTCTACCCTAGATAAGCTAAAAATCCAATGACAGGACAAATACAAAACTATGTTTAATTTGAAGCTTTTTTTTTTTTTTTTTTTTTAATGTTTTGTGTAGTCTTAGATGTCCTGAAACTTGCTCTGTACACCAAGCTGGCCTCGAACTCACAGAGATATGCCTGACTCTGCCTCCCAAGGCAGAGATTAAAGGTGTATGCCACCACATCTGACTTAACTTGAAACTAATTAAAAGTCTTTTAATTATATTGATGTGTGTCTCCATGGTGTAGCTGTGGCAGTCAGAGAACAACCTGTAGGAGTCAGTTCTCTCCTTCCACCATGTGGTCATGAGTTTTAATAGTCGGTGCACTTAACCACTAATGATCTCATCAACACAAATATATTGAATTTGATAAGGCCCTTAATACAGACCCTAGAAAATGTAAGAACTCAAGGAGAAATGCTAGGCTAACAGAGGCCTACGGGTTCTATCTGGCAGCAAGCCAAGAGGGGAAGGACAGCTATTCCTGCAAGAGGAAAGAGGGTGGGGCTTTAAGAAACAGTGCACACGGGAAGAGTGAGCGGTCACACCTGGGCTGAATGCAAAGGCATTATGGGAAGGAATGGGGCTAGAAAGGAACTCATCAATCCCAGGCAGTTTTGATACACAGGGAATCCCACAACTCATGTAATTCTTCAGCAAGATAAAACTGGATGAAGCAAGGAGCTGAAGAGTGCATCCGATGACGCACACCCGTAGGCCCAGCTACTGGGAGGCTGGGAAAAGGAGGAGCACTTCGGTCCAGGAGTTTGAAGCCAGCCTGGACAACACAGCAAGGGCCCATCTCAAACACAGAAACAAACAGAAGTGGGTTGAAAGTAAATGTGGCGCGTGACCCATTTTAGTTACTGAAAACTTAAAAGCCAGAAATTAAGTTAAAATAGTTCTAGGAGGAAGCTAATGATTCTGGATACAGAGAACTTAGGGTTCACAGAGAGACAAGCCAACTGGACATACTTAAGCCAGCAGCCCTTGAACTCATCTTCCTGAAGCACAGCATCACGAAACGTCCCTGATTTCCATAACTAATTATGCCCCGTGAGCACCTTCACAGCCTCATTCTTTCCCTTCCCCCTGTAACTCCTGTGTGCTCCACCTTCATTCCCAGTACTGGAGAGATGCATACACACACACACACACACACACACACACACACACACACACACACACGCTAGGAATGCAGACATAGCAGCCATGAACCTCTCCTGGTTAGTGCTTCCCGAGGGGCAGACACAGCAGAGGCATAATCTGTGAGGGCTCTGTACCTACGTCCCATGCCTATAAACTCTTTCTAGTTTGTTTTTCCAAGAGGGGGTTTCTCTGTATAGCCCAGACTGTCCTGAAACTCTCTCTGTAAAACAGGCTGGCCTCAAAATCTGCCAGCTCCCTGTCTCCCAAGTGCTGGGATTAAGGAATGTGTGTGCCAACATCACCCAGCTTCACATCTGAAAATTCTAATTAAATAGGTCCAAATTGTTTTATAATAAGGAAAAGAGGGTGATGATAGAATCACTATTATAAAGCAAGAGGGCAGAAACAGAACAGCTAGAGAGAGGCAAGAGTAAAATACTGTTTTGAAATTAAGGATGACAATAACCTCAAGAGAGATGGTGCCACACGCCTTTGATCCCAGCACTAGGGAGGCAGAGGCAGGCGGATCTCTGAGTTTGAGGCCAGCCTGATCTATAAAGTGAGTTCCAGAATAGCCGGGGCTGTTACAGAGAAACCCTGTCTCGGAAGGAAGGAAGGAAGGAAGGAAGGAAGGAAGGAAGGAAGGAAGGAAGGAAGGGGAATGGCCAAGGGTGTTCAAAGCTACAGATTAAGTATGATAGATTCTCAATGCCCATCTCTTAGAGCTTAATCACTTAGCCAGGATCTGCCCTGCCGTGCAAATCCAGAGAGTGCTCTGGGGCGATAATGCTGATCCCTCCATTCGTTAACACCAGCACCTACCTCTCAAATGTTAGAATCACAGGCTTGTACATCATCATGCCTGGCTTTGTTTATCTCTCTGAGGCAAAGTCTTGCTTTGTACCTTTGGATTGCTCGCTTGTCTGTCTGTCTGTCTGAGGCAAGCTCTGACTATGTAGCCCTAGTTGAGTGGGAACTCACCGTGTCGATCAAGCTAATCTCAAACTTGTACCTCTCCTCCTGCCTCTGACTCTTCAGTTCACAAAAGTAGTCCTGTCATACCCAGACAGAGATTATACCTTTACTTCCCTTGAAATGTGCCGGCAACAGGTCTTAAAAGTGGGGCATTCTTGAGTATAACCGCACAATGAGTCTGTACCAACGGGTATACCGAATTTCAACCTACCTTGCAAGGCCAAAGGAATAGCTTCAATCTGGATCTTGGTGGGCTTTGCCCATCCCAACTGGTCACAAGCTTCGCACAATACATCTGTCACGCCCTTGAATTCAGAAAATCCTACTTTAGCAAAGAGTATGTCCTCACATCCCTCCATTTTACATGCGCCTGTCGGGCGCCTGCTGGTGATATGGATCCCCTTACAGTCGACATTATTGTGCATCTCAGAACCTACTTTATATGAACGCCGTGAGACAGTTCCTTGAGACGATTTCTATTCGCCAGGGACTGTGCCAATTGCTTTGCACGTGTTATCTCATTTAACTGTCAAACAAGTTCCGACGAGTGGCTAGCTGTTATTGCACCCAATTCACACGCGTGTAAAGCGAGGCAAGGAGCCTCTTGAGACGAGGTCAGATGGCAAAACCGACGCCACCTACCAAGACCCAACCACACGTGACCCCAGATAACAAGCGGCTCGGCGCTACAGTGGAAAGGCAAATGGGGGGCTCCCGGGATTCAGCAGCATCCTACAAGGCAAATGCACCCGAGGGAGCGTGCCGAGACCCGGAGTTTCTAACAGCCTGAAGAAAGCCGAAGGCAGGCCCCCAAGGTGCTTTCATACGCTGCAGCCCCGGACATAAAGGACCCAAACCCTGTGTGAGCGTAAGGCAAAATAAACACCAGCATCACCCATTCTCACCAGGTCTTTAAATGTTTTAGCTTCCTCCTCCTCCGCAGCTGTCTGAAGCGTTTCTGTGGAGGAATCGTGCTCCTCGGCTGCTGCCATCTTGCCTGTGGGTCCCGGAAGCGGAACGGCGCACGCGGTGCTGGGAAATGTAGTTTCACTCTTTCCTAGATCGCACGGTCTGCGCGCCCCCTGCTGGCTTCTCTGGGTGGGGCTTTGGAGAGTTGTAATGGCCAGAACCCTGGGCGCCTATGCAACTGAGCAGAAAAAAGTGACTGATGACCGGCCACCCCTTCCTGCTGCCCTTTGGGTCTCTGCCCCTCCCCCTTGTTTTGCTTTCTTGAGGTAGGATCTCATTCCGTAGCTCAGGCTTTCAGAGCTTTTTCTATCTTCCCTTTGTTACCACTTCCCTAACTGTAGAGATGTAAACACATGCAATACCATTTATTCACTTACTTCATATATTCGGCAACTGTCAGCTTACGATATACTTGGGCTATCTTAGGTGTCTAGTGACGAGGCAGGACAGCATCAGCTGCCCTTTCAGACGGCAGATAATGAATAGGCAACAACGGGCCACCTTAAATTGTGAGAAGTGCTATGATGTAATAAGCCTACATAAAAAAAAAAACCTGGAGCAAAGCCTTGGGAGGGAGAGTTGTCAGAATCACTATAAAATTGGGAGGGTGTCTCTAAGGCAGTGATATTTGAGCTGGGACCTCACTCATAGCAGAAAGGCCAGTATCAGTTCAGGGGGCAGCTATTCAAGACTAGTGGATATGGGATATGTATATTCAAGACTAGTGGATATGGGATATGTACATAAAAACTTCCTGAGGCCAAAAAAAAAAAAAAAAAAAAAAAAGGTGGTGATGCCACACGCCTTTAACCCCAGCCCTCAGGAGACAGAGGCAGGCTGATTGTGAGTTCAAGACTAGCCTGGTTTACTAGAGCTAGTTCTAGGACAGGCTACAAAGAAAGCTACACAAAGAAACCCTGCCTTAAAAAAAAGAAAAAAGAAAAGAAAAGAGAAAAAACAACAACATAAAACCTTCGTGAGGCCAGTGAGATTTCTAAACAGCCAGCTCTCAGGCTAGTGAGGTTCAATGTTGCATGCCCTGTGCCTACCCGTACAACCCTGTGGGGAGGTATAGGAGTTCTCCATGTATGGAATTTTCAAAGCAGCAGCACTCTTTCTGAAATTGAGGCATTAGAGACAATCTGGCATCCCTTTCTCTGGCACAGAGTGTTAATTAAATGTGTGCAGGGTGTGTCATACATTCCTTTAACAGTAGTTAGGGCTCCTAGTCCTGATGGTCCATGGGGACAGTATAGATTAGCTCATGTGTGTCTAAAATAAAACTAAGACTTGGCAGTGGTGATGCTTGCCTTTAATCCTGTCACTTGGAGACAGAGTCAGGAAGCTGTCTGAGAGGTCAAAGCCAACATGGTCTACTGAGTGCGTTCTGGAACAGCCAGGGCTACATAGAGAAACCCTGTCTTGAAAAAGATAGAGGTGTGTGTGTGTGTGTGTGTGTGAGAGAGAGAGAGAGAGAGAGAGAGAGAGAGAGAGAGAGAGAGAGTATGTATGTAACAACATTCTGCTAAAACACAAAGAAGCAGAATCCACACTTGAAAATGCTGTGATGGCTGCCTGGGGGGAGGGGGAGGAACGGAGATGAAATTCAGAAGTTGGAATTTAGAAGCAAAAGAACAGAAGGTGAAAGAAAATGAGTAGAAAAAGCAAAGGGAGGGAGCTGTGCTTTGACCTGAGAATCAAGAGGGACCCAGCAGAACTATCTCCTTCACACACAACGCCCACACTTAGGAGTCCGGTTCGTGTCTATAACCACAAAGCTTGGAAAGGCAGACTCAGGTCAGATCCTCCATGGCTTGTGATGAAAGGTATGGGGTTTGGGGAGTTGTCGTAAACATAAGAAAAACTGGGCAGGAAGCTGACATGATCCACACAATCCAAACATTGCTTTTAGCCGGGTGTGGTGGTGCACACCCTTAATCACAGAGCTTGGGAGGCAGAGGTGTAGGGGCCAGCATGGACCCCCGAGGCACCTTGAGCAAGCCTGAAGCTGTTGGCTGGGTCTTCTAGCCCCCCCCCCCACCTCCAGTTGTTATTGGTACACTTCCTGTTTTGCTAACACACCTGCTGGGGAGAAGCTAAGCCTGAAAACTTGTATTCTTAACTCTTGTTGTTTTCCACTGTGCTGTGAGTCAGTATATAAGCCAGCTCCTTCCCCTGGATAAAGGCATTCGCCATTCTGACATTCCTGTTGTCTCAAATAAAGGCATTGGGCATTTGGCAGGCTCCCCTGGTCTACAGCCAGGGTTATTCAGGGAAACCCCTGTCTCAAAAGAACAAAACAAACAAACAAAAACCCCAAAAACATTGATCTCACCCCCCATCATGCTCATCTTCAGAAAGGAAACTGGAGAAAGGAGGCCTCCTTTCCTCAGAGCAAGAGATGACTTTGTTTCCCTGGTTCTAGACACAAAATGGATGCTAAGCATTCACTGCTTGGGTGAGGAATTGCTTGGGTGAGGACCATGGGAGGCCAGGGGGATTTTTTTTTTTTTTTATTAAATCAGGGTTTATCAGTTCTCTTACCAGCTGTTTCCTTGTTTGATTGATTGATTGATTTCTGAGACAGGATTTCTCTGTAGCTTTGTGCTGGTCCTGGCTCTCACTTTGTTGACCAGGCTGGCCTCAAACTCACAGAGATCTCCCTGCCTTTGCCTCCAGAATGCTGGGATTAAAGCCGTGGCATCTCCAAAGTAAATGCACAGAGATTTAATATTACTAGCTAACTCTTACATTTTAAATTAGCCCATCTATATCAATCTACATTCTGCCATGTGTAGTTAACTCCCTTTCATCTTGGTCCTCCTTTTTCCTCTCCATGTCTGGCTGGCAGCTCCTCCAATTCCGCCCTTCTTCTTCTCAGGGTCCTTCGTCTGCCACCCAGCCTTATCCTGTCCAGCTATTGGCCAGTCAACTTCTTTATTGAACCAATCACAGTGACATATATTTATACAGTGTTAAGGAATATTCCACACATTCCTGCAAAATAGTCTGTGTCCTTTGGTTGAGTTTGGTTTTCTTCGTTTTTACTCCCAGTTAAAGAAAAGAGGGAAGTCGCTCCTGTATAAAACAACAGGCCAGCCCAACATAGGCCTCCCAGGCAGACATGGTACATGCTTGGCTAACACAGTGCCCAAGGCTCTTGAGTTCTCTATTTGCCCTTCCCATGATTACCTTCTCTGTTTTCTATTATTTTATTTTATTCAGCATCTTCTGTAACCTAAGATGGCCTGCCTCAAACTCCCCGTGTATCAGAGGAAGACCTTAGATTCCTGATTCTGCTGCCTCCACTTCCCAAATGCCAGGAGTACAGGTGTGCACCACCATGCCCGGGAATCGGCCACTCAAGGGGTCCCCGAAAGGGAAGCACACTCTTCAGAAGAAGATGGCGTTGACCCATCCTGAAGAAGATCCGTCCACCAGTATAGCTCTGTCCTTTTGACTCCTGTTTGCTGTTACACAGACCTCCTGAGGAAGCCATTCTTCTTACTTGGCCAGAACTTAAGTCCCAGAATCCAACCTGTTTGAGGCGAGTACGGTTTTTCCGCCCGCCGCCTGGTCTTGTCCTGCCGCCATGCCGCCAGCCCCAAATAATGCACAGAGACTCTGTATTAGATATAATCCTGTTGGCCAGTTACTAGTTTCTTATCGGCTAGCTCTATCTTAATTATTAACCCATTTCTATGTATTTCCACGTGGTCTTACCGAGAGCGGAGGAATGGCGGTTCTGTTCTCTCCATCTTGCTCCTCCTTACTCCTTCCTCTTTCCTCCTTGTCTCCTGGTCCCTCCTATCTTGCTTTCCTATTGGCCAACAGTGCTTTATTCATTAACCAGTATGAGAAACATTTATAGAATGACATCTCCCATCAGAGGCCCAGGCGTGTGACTTTATTTTTTCTTTTATTCTCTCTCTTCTCCCCCTCCCCTATACCCCACTTCTCTCCTCTCTCTCTCTCTCTCTCTCTCTCTCTCTCTCTCTCTCTCTCTCTCTCTCTCTCAGACAGGGTCTCACTAGGTAGCCCTAACTAGCCTGGAACTCACTGCATAGACCCCAACTGACCTCAGACTCAGAGAATCCGCCAAGACCCACCTGCCTCTGCCTGGCTAGTGCTGGGATTAAAGCAGTAAGTTTCCTGAAAGTGTTGTCAAGAGCAGCTTCATCTGCACAGCTACACTCAGAATTCTACTAAGCTACTTCTTCTCCACAAACCATGGGGGGGGGCACCGAAGCAGCTGCGTTTCCCCAGGGCTTGCTTTACCTCCTCCAAGAGAGGAGTAGGGAAATCAGAGCGCAGGCATTTGAGAGACTGCAGAGGCCTGAACCCTGGGCAGAAGAAGTGGAAGGGCTATAGACTTGGATGCAGCATCCACAGGTACCCAAATTTCATGTCACAGGTGTCTGGGGATCGACTGTGTCTCTTGTTACCAACACCTATGAGAAGTATGAGACGACGGGTTTGTGGCATCGCACATGCGTACAACATGCTTTTGTATCCTCCCCCACTGCCTCCTTACCCTCCCCGCACCTGGCACCCCCCTGCTGCCTTAAGGGAACTGATTTACACCATTCCCTTGCTTTATAAAACTCCAAGCCGGGGTAACAGTGCATGCCTGCATTCCCAGCACTTGGGAGGCAGAGGCCACCCTGCATAGAGATAAATCATGTTTGTTGGCCTTTAATATCAGCGCTCTGGAGGCAGAGGTAGGGGGATCTCTGAGTTCAAGACCAGCCTTGACTACAGAGTAAGTTTCAGGACATCTGGGGCTACTGCCTTGGGGGTGGGGAGACCTCTCCATTTTAGTCAAACAAGGATCCTTTTTGTCTATTCTTGGATAATTCAGACACAGGCTATTTTTAAGACTTCCTCTGATGGCAGCATCCTCAAGGCATCCAGAGCCACATGGTTTACAGTGACAAGAGCAGTTGTATTGCTCTAGTCCCTGGTCTATGACCTGCAGGCAAGCTCTAGGCTTCACCAACCCTGAGACATCATTCATGTCGACATAGTATTGGGATGACCATAGATGAGTTCTACAGAGTAAAGCCTAAGTGTATCGACCGCTTTAA